AATCTCTGCCCATTCCTTCCATGGAAACTCATCAACTTGAGATATATTATATTGTATAGTTAGGACATTTTTCAAAGTATATTAGTTAAATTTACTCTAATTCCATTTAAACTTTCCCTGAAAGGATTTTCCCAAAATCCCAATTACAAGCCTCACTCTGTAGGGTTTTTGCAGGATGGGAAAGAAAGTTTTAAACTTTTTTCAGTGTCTGTCAGCCCATGAAAACAGACTTTCCTTTTTCCTACAACATTTGCCCGGGGGTCAAATTAAGTTTTTTTACTTTTTCTTTTCCCTTGCTGTACTAATAAAAGGGTTTATGAAAACAAGATTGAAAAATTTTTTTGGGCCCGATTGGGCAAAAAAATATTACTTTTGTTTGAAAATGAAACAAAAGAAAAAATTTCAAATTTGGGTTCTGGTTCAGATGTAAAAGATCCAAAGCAAAATCTACAAACTTAATTGATAATATAACAACTGAATTTTAAAACTAACGGGCAATCCAAAACTTTTAACTAAAACAAAAAAATTTGTTTTTTCCCCAGCAAGGGGAATCATTGAGGAAACCAAAGCTTAAAGTTAAATTACATCCAAACCCAAATTTACCCAAAAAACTGTTTTAATTTTTTGCAAATACAAATTCATTGGGTAAACTTTGGCAAAAGACTTAGGGGATTTTTTCCCCCATTTTTGGGAAAAGCTTGTGCAATTATTTTAAAAATTGGGTAGAATACTCTGTCTTTTTTCTAGACATGTTCGGCTTTTGTGGGAATTTTTGTTCCCCGTCCTTTAAAATTTTAAAAGTAAAATCTTGTAAGGGGCCCTACAGCTGGCCTATAACCGTAGCGGGCTTCTTTTAAAATTTTCTAATATTTGATTTAAAATTTCTTTGAACTTTAATATTTTTTACTCCCCACTAACCCCCCGTTTTCCCCAGTCAAACTTTAATGTTTTAAAATACCAAACTTTTGGGAAATTTTACTTCCAAAGAAACCAACCCCCTCCTAAAAATTCCTTTTTACGAACCTCTTTTATTCCTGTTTTTAAATTTTTTTTTAAATTTAGCCCCAAAACCCAAATTTATCCCATACCCAATTCCAAAAAAATTTAAAATTATTCTTGACATTGAGGATACTTTAAATAAAAATTTTCCTTTTCAAAAAACTTTAAAATTTCCCAAAAGTATAATCAAAAAATTCCTTCTCTTAAGAGATGTCGGGGTTTGGAAATGATTAATTTGAAATGACTAGAAAAAAAAAATTTTTTCCCTCAGTACACTTAATTTTCTCGGGAGATGAAATTAAACATTTGCAGTATCAACATTTCTTTTGGTTTAATTTTCTAAGAATGCAACTTTCAATATGCCTTTTGTCATTAAGTTTTTGGCAACTGTTTTTTAAATAAATAAAGTTATTGTTAGCCCAATCTACATTTCCAAGATTACTCTTCCCGAATTATATTGGGTAAGCTAGGGAAAACTCCCCAAAAATTCACCATTTTTTTTTCCAATAAAAAAGGGAATTTTTGAGGTAAATATATTTGTGTAGTACTTTATCAAATTTAAATAAACCTTTTCCCTTCAAAAATCAAAAACCCAGCTTAGGAATACTTTTATATCTGGAATAATCAAGTCTAAAATTGAAATAGCCCTTTCTCATTTTAAAAGTAAAGCTGAACCTTTTGGGGGAAAATTTAAAAACCCCATACTCTAATTACATCTCTTTTTTTCCCCTCTTGAAATCTTTAAGTTTTTTCAGGATCCATAAACGTAAATAATATTGGGTAAAAAACCCAAATATCTTTTTTGGATCCTCCTACAAAAAGAACCTACCTATCCCCCAGTTAAACACGCCAGTCCCAAATTGTGACTCGAATTCCCTTTTTAAAAAACTATGGCCCCAGAACCCACTCAGTTAAATTACATTCATATTGCCCAGTTTTATTTTTTATTACAAATGAACCTTGCATTTTTGAAAATTTTTGTTTTAGATTCTTTTTCTAGCTTGTTTTTTAAATAGAGTTACTATGAAAAAAAAAAAAATTGCATACAACAAGTGGCCCATGACCTATACAACAAGCCCAAATACAAGTCTAAACGGCTGTGCCCAATGGCACTGTATCGGGAAAAATGTCTCTTTTTTTCTGGAAAAAGGGCAATTCTCTTTTTTTTGCGGGGTTTTAAGCCTTTTTCTTCACTTCTGGGCTGGAAAAAGTCAAAATAATTTTTAGGAAAAAAAATTTGTCTTTAAATGAAAAAGGAGCCCCGGGTGATGACGAATTTTCTCCTTTTTAAAATGTTTTTTTTCTTTTTTTTCCCAAATTTTTTCTAAATTTTGCCCATTAGGGTCTTTTTGGAGTTTTATGTTTCCTCCAAAATTTGGGATTATCAGATAAAAATTTTTTTTGGAAAAAAGAAATGAAAGAAAGGCATAAACAACTTGCATTAAATCATTTGGGGGAAAAACCCCAAATTTTTTGGGTGTCCCGTGCATTTTTTAAAAAAAATTGAGAGGTTTTTGGGGACTTGTATCATTACCCAATGGCCCAAAAATTTTAAAAAAAGGGACCCCCCCAATTTAAACTTTCCCAAAGGGCCCCCCACTTTTTTTCTAAATTTTTTTAAATTTCATGACTTTGTCCCCCCTTTTCCCTTAAAAATTTGAGGAGGTGGGGGGGAAATTTTTTCCTTTCTGAAAGTGATTTAGCTGCAGTGGAAAAAGGCTTTAAAAATTGCCCTTGAAAACATCTGAAAACCTTTTGGGTTTTATCAATTTGCCTTCTTTCTGCAAGTCGAAAAAAAACTTCATGTGGAAAAACAAGGCATTTTTCCCCCTGCCATCAGTTCAAATGGACGTATTGTGTAGATGAGAATTTTTACTTCTGATACCCCATCAAACAAAAGGTAAAGCATCTACCCCAATTTTATGTCCTTTTCAAAACAAACATTTTAGAAATTTCGGAAATTTGTAGCCCCTTTTAAATTCTTTCCCAAAAATCCGCAGATTGGGGTTTTGGAAAAGGGAACATGAAATCTTTGCGGGTTTTCCCAAAATTGTTACAAAACCCTGTTTAATTTTACCTGTGAAATGAGTTCCACCCCCAATCTGAACTGATGAAATTTGGGGATCCCCCAAGGGGGAAAAACATGAAAAAATTAACTTTCTGCAGTTTTTAAAGGGGTCGCCCTGTGCTAAAAGGAAAAATCTCAACCCAAAAAAACCCCCAAACCCAAATTTGGACCAAAAAACCCCCCTTTAATTTCCTGTTTAAAAAAGGGTCCCAAAAATCAAAATAAATGGGGACCCATGGCCCAAATATTTGGAGGAGCGTAAAGATTTTTCTGTCCTTTGGCCCCGGGGGTTCCCCTTTGGCCAAAAAAGAAAAGTTTGAATAACATTTCTGAATTCCAAACCATTTTTTTTCCCCAAAAAAATTTCCTTTGGAAACTCAAAAAAATCCCCGCTTCCCAAAAAGGCCAAAATTTTCCCTTAAATTGAATTTTTGAAGCCACTTGAAAAGGGTTTTGGTTTTTACAGGACCCAGACCCCCCGTTAATTTCATGAAAAAAAAAACCGTTTTCAAAAACAAAGGAAAAACTTATCAACCTGAGAAAAAAGGGGGAAACGGACCCTTTTTCTTTTTTTTTCTCAAAAAGGGATCTTTTGTTTTCTTTTTTTTCGGGATTTGGTTTACTTAAACAAATTCAGAGGGAAAGTCCACTGCCCTTTTTAACACCTTTTTTTGCAAAATTTTCGGGCTATCATTTTTCCAATTGCCCCACTTCATAAAGGGTTTTTCCAAAGCGCTGGAATTTTAAACCCAATTGCAAATGCAAAAGGGGTTTATCCCGCAAATGAAAAAAATTTAAACTCAAAGAATTTCTTTTGGTGCTAAAGTTTTGTTTGAAGCATCTAAAAAAAAAAAACCTCTTTTTTTTTCCAAATTGGAAGAAAAACAGTAAGAGAACGCACAACATATGAACTGTCACAAATAAATCCAAGGGGAACCAAAATTCTTTTCTTTGTCTACGGGTTAAAAAAAGTCCCCAATTTTTTCAGTTCCTTTCTTTTTTGGATGTGAAAAGTGTCCTGGAAGTCAGTTTGTATGGCATATCCTCTCTTTGGAAACCAGATTGCATAAACCAGAAAAAAATACGCCCATGATGACACAATAACCAGGAACCATCCAACAAACACAGTTCATCAGTCTTCTCCTGCTTCTCAGCGAAACAGAGAGAGTGAGTGTCTTGGACTTCACAAACACTCAGGTTTCTGATCCATTATATTCCATCATTGATGGAGTACACATATTTAGCAATATGCTCGAACCTGGATCTGTTTGGGTAGATAAAGCCAAACAACCAATTGTGAAGAATCTTTGATTGGAAACACATGGGATGTTTTTTTTTCCAAGGGAGAAATTACAGGGTGGAAATGGCGGGCTTGGGGAGTTTATTGTAAGATAATTTTGATTTGGAATCCATACAAATGTGCTCAGTTGCTTTTACTGCATAGTGAATCTCACTACCAATTGAGTTTAACCAAATTGTGTCAGAAAAAACCTTGTCTTAACATAGGTGTTAAAAGCCTAGAGAGAAAATATGATAGTATCCTCCAATTTCCTCCTTGTAGCCTGACGCAAACACCTGAAGAAGATGAGCAGGTTTTCAGTTGTATGGCACCTGCCTGTACATGGCTCCCAGGTATGACCCAGCGATGTGTGAACTGACTCAGGGAAACGGACAGACTTCAGATATGGGATAAACAATATGTAATTTAATTAACACTAACACTAAGAAACATAAACGCAGTTGCAATACTAAACATTGATACAGTGCACAAAACAAACTCAAAACCAACCACCCACAGATAACAGTACATACAAGCAAGCGTCGTTCAGTCAGGGCACTGGAACAATATCAATTGTGCAGGTAGGGAACAGGGGCTCGTCAAAGCGCGAGAATGGGTCGAGGGACCTCAGGCCAGTGTTCAGCATGAGGAAGCCAAGCAGCGTTATTCTGTACAGAGGGTCAAGCAGAGGGAATGGTCAGGTAGGGTCACAAGCCAGGGATCCCAGAACAGGTAGCAAGCAGCGCTAGTACAGAGGGGTCAGGCAGAGGGATGGTCAGGGTCACAAGCCAGGGATCAGGACAGGTAGCAAGCAGGCGTAGTACAGAGGGTCAGCAAATGAACAGAAACAGGTATGCAGGACAAGTTATCTACAGGGCCCAGGACAAACACACACACCAAGGCAGAGTCTGTGGGTATGGCCATCCCTTTAAATACCCCAGGCCATAATCAGTTCCCCAGGAGTGTCTAGTTAGCTGGCTGCAAAGTTGCAGTCTCTGATTGCTGGGAGCACCCGCTGGCCAGCCCTGGTACTGCAGAATCAAAAAGGCAGGTGAGTCCCCACCATGTGCTGGCCAGTCCCCATTCCTGACACCTGCAAAGCAAACGGTGCTATGCTTTTTCTACTGTTGTTAGAGGCTGGTGCTGTCTTGCCAAATCTTTTTTTCAAAGATTCAAAGGCCTTTGTAGCTGAACTTTCTGTCCAAGGACCAAAAAACCATATTTCCTCATTATTCTTTAGAAGTTCATACAGAGGTTTTGCTTTAATCAGCAAAATGACTCAATGAACTCTCTAGTAAAATTCACTAATCCAAGGAATTGTCTTAGTGCTTTGAATGTTGTTGGTACAGGAAGTGCAGCAATAGCATTAACCCCTTTCCTTGCAAAGGTTGGCGTTTACCCGGACTGATCTGAATGCCGAGAAACTTGACCTCGCGTTTCATGAGCTGAACCTTACGAGTATTCAGCAGCTTGAGACTCTGCATCATTGCAGCAGATCATAAACGAATTCTGCCCAAAAAGGTGTTAAATGTTCTTGCTCATTTTCTGTTGACAACAAGATATCGTCCACATATTGTAGGATACAATCTGGCCTATGAGAAAATTTGGAATAGAGGACTTCCGCTAAAGCTTTGATGAAATACGCTAGGACTCAAATGGAGGCCTTGCGGAAGACGGTTAAAGTGATACCTGAGAATTTGCGAAGGAGATAGGCACAATTTATATTGACAGACTTTTAGATAAAGAGATTGCAGAAAAATCCATTGCAATGTCAATCACAGAGAACACTTTTGCTTTTGCATCAATTTGGGACATTATAATCTGGATGTATCTGCCACTATTGGAGCGCAGCTTGGGGTATATTTATCTGCATTCTGAGATCTACCAGAAGCCTGACATGATTTTAGGGTCATCACGTTTAGGTACTACCCATAATGGATTGTTTGTTACAGAATTTGTTTTTCTGATAATACCTTGTTGCAGAAAGCTCCTGTATGACTATTGATACTGGTTCAATAGATTCTGGTGGCAATTTGTATTGCTTCTGTGGGGCGGGATCCTTGCCTTGCCACGTCTACTTCTATGTCTTTAAATAGACAGGCCTCATTTTTGCCTTGGCTCCCAAAGATTTTTGTATGAATTTGACCAATTGTTCTAATTGTTGATTGTCACCACTATCTGGCCATTTATGGTCTGCAGCAAGCACTTCTGTTAAACAGATGCTGCTGACCTCACAGTAATCTGCTGGGTCATTTACCACAGGCTTACGATTAATGGAACCTTTCCATACAATGCCATTTACCAAGGTCAATTATCCAACCTCTTCGTTGAAGGATATCTGTCCCAATGATATTCTCTGCACCTTGACAATACCAAATATCAATCTCAGTATCCAAATAATCAGGGATTTCAAATGAAACATTTTTACACATTGAAGCTTTTCGAATTACCTGATCCGGTAAATCCAACAACTGTACATACTGTTGCATCTGTCAAAAGAGGTAATCCTTACACCAGTAATAGAGATTTCAGCACCTGTATCAATTAGAAACTTGAGCTTTTGTCCATTCAATTTGCTTTAATGTAAGGGCAATCCACATTTATCTAGACATATTGGGTGTTACATATTCTAGATCATGAGACTTTATTTCCTTTTTATTGTCTAGTCACGGAGTAGGCAATAATGGAGCAGAATTAACAGTGGTTGACTGCAAGTTCTTTTTCAGTCAAACCGCTGCTGACCGATAACTCTCTGATTTTGTTTTATCAGAGGAGCATAGGGAGAAGAAGATTGAGTTTCCTTCTGACTAGGAGGAGCAGATGGTTCAAGAGAAATAAGTCCATTTTTCTTTACCTAAATTTCTTGAATCCTTTATCTGCATATCCTTTAAGAATTTGTTACACTTCCATTTTAAATGTCCAGGCTTTTTGACAGTAGTAACAAGTTATTGGCTCTCTCTGTCTCACCTGCTTGTATCTGTCACTTTTACTAAGAGCAGTCATTCCTGTCTTAGCTGTAGTTTGACCGTTCCTATTTAAAGTGTCATTTTGAACTAGAGCTATCTTAGACTTGAGATAGTTTCTGTTTCATTTGTCTTCTGATTTTTATCAATGAATGAACAAGCATCTATAATCGAATTTTTATCTTGCACAATGGCCAAAGAAGTTGGATCAAGATATTTAAATTTTTTTACAAATGCTTTTATCATACCTGTATCATTTTCATTATCTACGCCCAAGACCATTTTGTATGCCTTTGTGAATTTAATTTTAAATTCATAAGGGTCCTCTCTAACTGAAGTCTGTAATGAGTCTAGTACTTCTAAAGAAGGTACTTCCTCACCTGTGGTACATAACAACAATTGTCGTAATCTGTCTGATGCGTCACTAATGTATCTCCTGTCCGTCATTGTCAATAACAGGTGATTGCACAAGTTGTCTAGCAAAATGAGCTGGGATCCATATAAATAATAGATACGGTTTACGTTGTTCGTCAGTCAAGTGATAATGATCTGTATAAGACTCGAAGATGTCCGCATTATAAAAGGCATCGACCTTTGAGTCATACGCTGGAATATCTTTTAAAATTTTAATTAATTGATCATGAATTTGTAATTTTAATTTAGCTGCACGGTCTTAGTAGTTTTTTTCTTTCTAACTTCGGCTTCGTCATTTGCGTCATCTTCCCCCATTTCAGGAATGCAGGAAGCTTGAGGCTTTGACTTTTTAGAAATCTTCTTTACCAACCTTTTTTTATTATTTCAATTTTTTACCACCTTTTGTTAATACAGCAACCTCTTTTCTGTCATTCTGCAGTCTTAACAAAAGATTTGTTTTAGAATCAATTTGCTCCTCAAGATTTTCTATGTAGTTACAAAGAATGTCACAATTTGGACAATTAAGAGGATCTTGAGACAAATTTTCATACATTTCTGTGTTCTGTACAGTGCTACATTCTGTCTGCTTTAGTGTAGAAACACTTTTAGCAGGTAAGTCAATATTCAAAATCATTTTTGTTGAATATTCTTACTTACCAACTGAACTTTAAGATATTAGATATCTTCTTATGCTGTTTGTTTACAGTAAATCTAGATTTATCTTCTGAACATTGGCCTGTAAAACATCCTTGTACATGTACTGCCATAATTTACCATCATCAGGATATAAAGAAACATCCTTAAACTCTAACTTGCTTTCTATAGCTAGTTTTATCAATAAATTCCATAACTTTTACTCACCGTAATCAGATGATTTTCTTTTTTGCAGCCGGTGGCTCAGTCACTGGACCTCTTGTCCACATCTGACGAAACACAAATGCCTTCACTTCTAGGTTCTTTTCACCCGTGTTTTTCCCAAGACTTGATCAGTCTGTGCTTTCTCCCCCTTATCAAGGAATGATAAAACCGGAAAAAACTGTGGCGGAGGCTGGCTTAGCCAAATGTTAAATATCGTGACACTTATATTATTTAAGTGTCTGTCTTAGGCGTTTGAGGTAAAGTGTTCTAGTGCCAGGCTGATTTAAAACAGTGTGACTTTTATTTAATTCACACTTGGCATCAACATAAAATGAATACAAAAGATAAAATAAAATACAGAGTAAAATATAACAAAAGTTGTAGATTATGGAAAAAGAAATAAGCTTTGGAGAAGTCTAATCTCTTGCCTGTTCTATGACAAGTGTTTCAGTCTTGGCAAGGAAGACAACAGGTGTATCAAGGCTTTGCAGCCTTAAGAAAACAAAAATGTCAGTGCGTGTCAGCTGTATAATGTATTGATGTATGAGTGTGAGTGTGTGTATGCGTGTGTGTCTCTCTATCTCTAAGGCACATCTTAAATATATATTTACCAGGCCAACCTACTAAACAGTTATTTCCTAATTCAGTGTGAGCTAAATGAGTAAAAGCCTTTTTTGTACATCATCTATACTTATAACAGTCATCTATACTTATAACTCTTAGTGTCCATATTTGTAAACCTTCTAAACTTATATTCTTAGTGTGACGTTATCTTCAAACCTCTTAGACGACAGAAATACATGATACTGTTACATGATATACAATGGCTTCACATATCTTTAGAAAGGGACAATATTCACATAAATGCATATAACCAACAATAATTGATACTAAACTTATCACACACTTCCTAACTAATAATTTAATTATATGAAATAATTATCCAACTAACTATATTATAGATTAGACATGATTTTCTTTATAAAAAACATATACTTTCTTTGCTCTACTGCATACCAGTATATTTTTTAAATTCCAATTTGCTATTCTTAAAACAAGCTTATGACCTGCTGACCTCTTAGACATGAATATACCATGGTTCATCTTTAACACCTGTTTTCAAAGCCATCATACACACGCTAAGTTAAAAATTACTTTACTTGTCATTTTAGAGGAGACACTGATATGAAAAGATACAGACGTCTGTTTTATGCTAAATTAATTTCTTACACTAAGTGAAGAACTATTAAACTCCTTAGAATCTGAAATTACACAGGAAGAACTAAAAAGAGCATTAAAAAGTTTTATGACGGGAAAAAGTCCTGGTCCAGATGGATATACTGTGAGGTATTATAGAAAATATAGTGACTTACTGCTACCTAAGCTGAAGACATATATGAATGCGCTGGGAGGAGAGATGGAGATAAGAAGGGAATCCCTACTGGCCCAGGTGGTTCTAATACATAAGGAAGGTAAATATATCTCTCAGTGCTCAAGTTATAGACTGATATCGTTATTGAACACAGATACGAAGATGTATGCAAAGGTCTTGGCGAATTGGTTAAAAGATCTGATGCCAGAGTGGATACATGGGGATCAGGTGGGCTTTGTTAGAGGAAGAGAGGGTCGAGATAATGGGTTGACATCCCTGATGCTCATTCAGAAAAGTAGAAAGGGAAGAAATCCAGTAGTGTTACTCTCGATAGATGCGGAGAAGGCGTTTGACAGGGTTAACTGGAGCTTTATGATGGATACATTAGAGGTTTTGGGACTAGGTGGTAGGATGAGGAAGTGGATTGGAAGTTTGTATGAAGGGCCCTCTGCGATGGTTATGGTAAATGGGGAGAGATCAGAGAC